CGCCTATCCTCCCACGTTATTCTCCTTCGTCAGATTCGAGGAATCGTCGGATAAAGGAGGAAGACGGAATTTTAATAATCCCACCGCGAGCGACAACCGCGTGTTCCAGCGTCGAGCGCAGCGGAATTGACTTCACTTCACACAATGACGCAACGTGCGGTCGTCTTATGCGAGATCGCGTGCGCGGTTGACAACGTCAGTGTAAACAACTCTTAGTGGCCATAACAGCGCGGCAGAATGCCGGCCCTTCGACCGGTAACCTGCATTCTACGGGGTGTTCTCGTTACGACCCTGTTGGCCGCACGATAACTTTGAGGTTACTGCCACCGCTTACATTTCAGCGCGTGAACGACACCGCTCTCTCGCTCTCGGCTCTCCAAGTGGCTACACACCGCCGTCAACTGATTGCGAATGAAACACGCCCGTATCAGCGCGCGCGAGCGCGCGGAATAAAAAAGAAAATGTAGCGCAAATTTACCTGCGCGTCCAGCGCGCGGTGGCCCCACGCGCGCGATAAGGCTGAAATTATTTCTACAAAGTGCTTTCTGTTAATTACCCGCGTATATAGCCCCGGCTAATCTAGATTCTGGCACCTGCGCGAAAATTGTGATAACGCCCGGTGTGAAATAACGTTAATGCGAAGCGCTATCACTACGGCGTATGGCGTAGTGTCGTTGCATTGCTGTGACGCGATTAGTATCGAGGAATAAATAAATCGTGATTAGGGAGAGGAAAAGAAAGGAAAACGGAACTCTCTGAGTACAAAATCGCGCGCCCTGATGAATACCCTTTCGTCACGAACGCACCTATTACAAGAACGACTTTCGCGTGAACACCAGATCGATCGGGAAAGATTCCCGATAAACGATGTCGCATGCGTGTGATGACGCTCATAATGTTTTTCCGTCGGAATGTTCGCGAATAATACTCGATTATGAATAATTCGCTGCCGGCGAATGCACCAAGTTAACTCCGAATAGATCGAGCCAAACTTATCGACCGGCCTAATAATACAGATTCCCGTCGGTTCCATTGAAATGGAATACTGCGATTTCTCCGGTGTGACCAAGCAAAACCTAACAACGCGACTGACGCGCGATTTCTGTATTTACCCGAACTCCCCGTTGTTTGCTCGGCCCCGGGGGCGCTTTCTCACGACGCTTCTCGGACGAAAACGATACGGATATGACGGATGAAGTCTCTAATATCCAGTAAAGTCAGCGTGCAAACTAACGCGCGCGCAGAGTTAACGGTACGAACACGCGGACGGATTATGGGACGGTCGGTCGCGCGAATCTGCGCGCGGTGGCAGCACCCCCGCGAGCAAGCGTGAGAGAGAGAGAGAGAGAGAGAGAGAGAGAACGAAATCAAGGGGGGAAAGAGAGAGAGAGAGAGAGAGAGAGAGAGAGAGAGAGAGAGAGAGAGAGACAGCGAGCTTTGGGCGCGTGCGAGCCGGATTTATGACCCCCATTATGACGTTGACGTATCGCCTTCGTGAGGGCCCTAAACCGAACCCAAGGCGAATCTAAGCCCCGTGTACCTAAGCCAACAGCTAGCCACAGGTCACCGCGACCGGCACACGAGAATACTTCAGACTAATCCTGCGGCTCGCCGTATCCGATGGCTCCGACGAGAGCTTTCCCCGTTCTCGTAACGCGCGACTCCTAAAATGTTTCACGCGTATCTTTCGTTTCGTCCCTTGTTTTTCTCTTTTCTTTTTACCCCTTTTTTATTCTTTGGATATTTTTTTATAATTTTCCGGAAGAGGAAAGTATCGATCGCGCTACGTACGAAGTATGAACAAAATTTATTTATCGTTGTTCACCGTCCTTCATCACACCGGAGGCTGTATATTTCGAGCGCGTTCGAGACGCAGTGTCACATGATGAGATAAATAATATCTCCCCCCTCTTATTATCGCTCGATGATATCGTATTAGGCGCGGAAGAGGAGTCGTTTTAAACGAAAGAGCAGACGCATTCGAAAGTCAAGAACACCGAAATTAACGGGCTCCGTCGCTGTCGCCGCCGCCGACGGCGTTTTCACCCTCCGAGCTGTCGTCGCGTAATACGAGCGACGTGATCTGGCGCGCCACGAAAATTATTGGCATCTTCCGTTTCATAATGGTTGTCTAGCGCCGCAATAAAGCAATGAGGGTGGAGACGGGGAGAGGAAGGGACGCGGGCACGCAGTGGAGATTTAAAGGGCGTGCGAAGTCGCTTTTACGCGTCGGATGCGAAACCCTGATTCAATTTATATCCTCTGGTCGCGCGTTTCCTGTCTGCGGCGCACACATCTCTCAGGATTGCACCACTTCGTCCACTTCCGGCTAGATTCGCCCTCACCCTCGCCCTCCTCCCTCCCGGCCCTTCCTAACCCTGGCTTTTCTTCTGCCGTGAATGAAATACGACGATGATTCCATCGGCAGTGAGAGCTGCGTCGCCGGCGATTTTCGACGAGAGAGAACGGGAGCGAGAGAGATGGGGGCAACGACACAAATAAATCGCGTTGCAAAATGGACCAGGCGATATGTATTACGGCGGTGCCCGACGTCACGCATCGGCGAGTGTCAAAACACCGTGGAGGAACCGCTCCACGGTGCATTAAAGGGAAGCGAATTAATGGGCAAACGAAATCACGGATCGATGGTAGCTCGAACAGCTATTCCCGAAGGAATCACCGTAACACGCCGCTGAAATAAATTCGTATGTGTCACCGAGGTGTATCATCGAGGTAAGAAAATAAAATAAGCGATTGACAGACCCACACAAAAAATATTCATATATATATAACTTCAATTCAACATTACGTCTCTTCGTTCTCATGGTCAACCGTGACTTATCGAACCTCGCGAATCGCGAATAAATTACGGTGCACCGCAGGCAGGTGGGTGGGTGCAACTGACGACCGATAGAGGAGAAACGCGGTGAGGGCGCGACGTCTTCCAAATAAGCCCCTAACCGTGACTTCATCGACATCGCGAGTCGATTCTTTTCCGTGCAAGATTGAGTTCTCGAATACGCGGTCAAAGGAACGCACGGAGTTTTAACTCGCTGTATGTGTATATGTGTGTATATTTTTATGGAGAGAGCGAGAGGGAAAGAGTCGAGAGACAAACGGCAGCGGTTATCTGGCGAGGTCGAAAAAGGAGAAGTGGATAAAAAGAAATAGGTAAATTCTGATACGGCGGACATGAAGGAGCGGCGCGGCGGAGAGAGACGAAGACGGTAAAGGTGGAGAAGGAGAAGGCCGTAAGAGCTCAGAGCCGGAGTAAGAAAGATGGGACGAAAACATCGATTGCAGGGGCTTGTAACACCGCGGTACGAACAGAGGGATCAAGCCGAGCGATAAACCAAGCGGCCTGGAAAATGCCGGATCAACGGTACGATGTTTCAGCAAAAACTGTCTGGAATCGGAACAGCCCCGGCTCAAAGAGAGAAGACGGACGAACGTATATATGAATGAACGAACGAACGAACAACGAACGAACGGACGGACGAACGAACGAAGCAACAAACCAACCAACCAACCAACCAACCAACCAACCAACGAACAAACGAGGGAGGGACGCTAGCTAGCTGGGTAGAGCTGGGTAGAGCTAGTATCTAACTCGCTCGCTCTTCAGGGTGGAATCGAGAGCGAGCGGTGAGAACCGTGCGGAGCTCTCTCGTGGTTTCTGCCTACCGTTCTCCCTCTGCTGTTCCTTCGGAGCGAACGCTTACCGTATTATTACGTATATAACGTGTACATATATACCGTGTATGAATTTTGCGTTATGCGCCGCGTTATAACCGTCGCCCTACAATCGCCCACCTCGAGTCCCGACGGATTTACGAGGAAAGTAATACGAATTAAACTAACGTCCTCCGCCGCCCGCCTGTACACACGTTGCGCCATAAAAAAGAACCCCTGATGGGATCGCGAACGAGGGTGATTTCCCGTAATAAAATATAATGAAGTTTCACGGACGCAGGATTGACGCCGGTGAGCGCGTCGTTACCGAGATAAACTTAACATTAATTATATTCCGCGACGCGACACGCTGTATTTAATATTGATTAAGCTGCGCATTGTTGTTCATTTTAAAGACCATGCCACTGTGCCCAAAGTTACCGTTTGCATGAGAAGTAATTGTTCGAGTGGCATCGTATCGCAAAATTCCGAAAGATAAATCCACACACATCCAAAGATACACTTGTAATAAATAATTATTTCGTGAGATATATATACACAGCAGCGAAAGCGGCCATCTAGACGAGGAAGCATGAAATTTACCTACACACGAAGTCGACGTAGTAGCTCTGTAGGTAACTCGACGACTGACTTCATCGTGGCGGAAAACCTGAATACAACTGTGCTCGGTAAAGCGTGCTCAGGGAACGTAATATCGGACGAGGATAAGGTTTAACTCGCGACTTACCATGGTGCAATAATATGAAAATCAAACTAGAAGATAGGTCTCTCTTATGCCCATTTCTACAAACTTTGGTTAACTTAACCGGTTGGTTATTCCAACGGAATTGACCAGTCACATTTGTCATTAACTAGAATTATTAAATGCGATTGGTCCATTCCGATGGAATAATCAGTCGGTTAAATTAACCACGGTTGGTAGAAACGGACATGAGACTAGGAGACCAGGGCTAAGGCCTGGTCTACAATACGTGTCGTAAGTTGTAAGTCATAAGAATTGGCGAATCACAGTCGATTATTACAAAAATAATCAGCTGTAATTGGTCAGTTCTTATGGCTTACAGCTTACAACACATATTGTAGACCAGGCCTAACTCTCACCTGGCTGACCAGCGAGTACAAGATCACGCACGTAAAACAAATTCGCACCGAGTTACCCTCTTATGATATTCTTCCGTGACATAGACGACTGCGTCAGTCGGATCGACCTAGCCTAACCTGATTCATGTTATTAGGAGAGAACAATGCTTGGGATTTCTAAGTAACAGTATGACAAGCCAAGGTTGTTCACACACAGATCGGCGTGACGATGCGAGCCGGCATCAGCACTCGTCGTGGAAAAGACCGAACGAGTCCTACGAGCTTTGTTCGATTACCGCAGGCGTCACGCGCTAACCAATCAACCATCCGTTATATATCCGTTACTTCCGGAAAGACGAAAGGTTGATTGGCTGCTCGGCCATCTCGTGCCGTGCGACACGTGTGTCGCGTCCTCTATACAAGAGCCATTACTCGCGCGAGACCTGCGACTTCCGGTTCGACGGGCTCGTCGATGTTTGTTATGCAGTGCGTCGCATGAGACCGAACATGAAAACGGTGGAGGGAAAAGTGGTGGTGCTGGGGTCGCAAGGTAAGTGCTGATCGTGGAACGCAACGATGACAGGGTCACAGTTCTCGCGCCGATTATCGTTATGTAACGCGATAAAAGGATTTCGTCGAGGTTTCGAAGACGCAAAACACGAACGGGAGATATCTCGTGCATCTAATTACGTGATTCAGAGACCAGTCATCGCACTTCCATTCCCGATGTGTCTTTCACAATGCGGTTAGAGAGGTTAGTTGTAATTCAGAATTCTCGCGGAGGGAGTCGTCGTTCCCGTAGGGACGTTTTAATAAAGCCCGGGAATTTGAAGAACGTTAGAGTGGGTAACCTGTCAAAATTTGACAACAAGCGACAGGCTCCTCAATTTGGTCATATCGAACCTCGACCGAATCAATGGAAGAGTAGAACGCAACAGTAACGAGACCTATATATCGTTGGAATGCTCATTCGCTCTTTGTTTACTACACGACTATTACTATTCCGCCGCCACCACCACTACTACGATTACCACCACTACCACTACTTAGAGATCGGCTAGGCATTACCCGCGAGAGGGTTCATGTGTGAAACTGCATTCCAATGCTGATTTACGACTACTCAGAGTCAGATGTTGCAACATCTAGAATAGTTATGCTATACTGCGTTGTGTTGACAACGTTCACTTGGACTCGAACGAAGAATAGAATGTTGCCATTTTTTCGCGGTCGCGAATTCGTGAAATTAATTGATCCACGGAAAGCGACATTTCGTTTATATGAAACAAGAGCACTCGTCGGTAGAAGTGTATCTACGATTACAATAGCATGCATCGCGCTCGAGGTCAAAATCCGCGCAACACATTTTTTATAAATCTCTTTCCCTCTTGACTCAACGCACTGATAACAGAGCACGCCTTCCAGGGGAATCCAATCGCGAATAGTATGACACACATTTTCATTGACATTACTTTATCATTGATTTACTGAGTAATGGTCGTATTATATCTAATTATAATTGATATTGACAAAAAATTGTATTTTTTAAAACGGTTAGCCTAAATGTCGACCTAAAAAAAAAAAAAAAAGAGAAAAAGAAAAAAAACGATGAAATGAATACTTATCATCTTACGAGGTCAAGTGTATACGACCGTATAACTGATAAAATGGCTATCGAGATAAATCGGCTGTCAAACGAAGAAATCTCCCTGCAGATAATGTCGCTATCGATCGCACGGTACATGAGTCATCAAATCATGAATCACAATATTATTTTCAGGTGTAGGCAAGACGAGCCTGATTGGACGTTATATGGGAAAAGTGTTCAATCGTCATGAGAATCCCACGATAGGAGCGTGCTTCCTCAACTGCAATCTGAATCTCGAGGGCGCCCGGGTGAAGCTACAAGTATAAAAACATACGATAAAAACATTGTTTCCGTATATTTACATGAAGATTGCGGATGTCTGACGCAACGGCTCGGCGCTTGGTATTTTACGGATTAATTATCCGCTTGCGATTCGGGGATCCGTTATTAACCGTTATCTTCTCGCGATTAAACTCGCGACTCCGCGAAATTTGCTACTCTTCTCGCTTCGGCTGTCTTCGTTGCACGCATCGTTATCGCGATTTCACGCTCTCTCGGTGACGCAACAAGATACTTTGTATCCGATTCGTTAACAGCGATTTACTTCAGATTACGTTCCCGTGTTTAATGGCTCATTTGTGTACTAGACTAGACCGCATAAGAGAATGCGATATTAAAAGTATCGCTCTTTCATGCAGGTATGGGACACCGCCGGCCAGGAAAGATTCCGCTCCATGGCGCCGATGTATTACAGAAACGCGAACGCGGCGATGCTGGTGTTCGACCTCACAGAGTACAGCACGTTCTCGGCGATCAAAAGCTGGGTGACGGAGTTACAGAGGAACGTGGAGGAAACGATGGTGCTAGTGGTGATCGGCAATAAATCCGACCTGGTGCAACAACGACAGGTGAACGACGAGGAGGGTCGCGAGTACGCGACGAAGATCGGCGCGACCTATCACGAGACCTCGGTGCTGCACAATGAGGGTATCGAGACGGTGTTTCTGGCGATCGGTGTCGGTCTCCTGAGATTACAGTCGGGCAATCAAGACATGGAGACCTCTTTGAAGATCGGCGACTCGAGCAGCTCTTGCATGCGCAGCAACGGCATGCCGGCCACGCCCTCAATCGAGGAGAGCCCGCCGAACATGAGTATCGCACATGCCATACACGAGAGGCCGTTTACCTGCTGTTAGTTTCCGATTAACGAAAAAGATTCGCGAGATTCACAGGGGTAAGGGGAGAGCGAGTGAGATGTCGCATCTCTCACCTGAAAAGTTCGCGCCGATGCGTATGCGAACGTGGTGCGCTGACCGCCAAAGAAAAAGTTCGAGCACGATCTCGCAGATTTTCTTCTCCCTCTTTCTAGAACGCGTATCGTCGGTGAACAAACGTCGTTACGACGCAGAGTGTGTGTAGGGCGTACAAAATGCGAGGCGAACGAATGACGAAAAACACGAGGTCTTCCAAGGTCAACTGCAGTTCCAGCCGGACTGTGGTTGGACACTTCATAAGATAAATCTCTACGATACTCTCGCGTCGATTTACCGCTGGCGTTGAGTCGACGATATCAAAATTTTATAGCGTACGACACGACAATGTTTGTACGGTGAAACAGTTAGAGAGCTGGTTTTTCTTTTTTCGTCTTTCGTAACGCGTAGCGTATGAGAATCTATTGGCGGCGCAGAGTAATTCTTAACTTTCACTGAATGTTACGTTTCCGTTTCTGTGCGCGTGCGATTTAACATACGGGATCACTTAATGCGTTATGTTGAGTGTTGTTGAGTGTCAAAGTGCAATTGTAGATTCATGACGAGCTTCAAGTCACACAAAAATGACGGCCTTGTGCAACATTATAAGCTCAACTATCAATATCATACGTATAGTTTTCGAAAGTTGTATCAAATTTACTAGTTGAGGTAAATTTCCAAGTGCGCTAATTAGATTTGATAAGACTCGATCGCCGAAATACGTGATTCGAATGTGCACGCAAATCGTCGGCAAGACGAGGAAACTAGAAAAAGACATTGTATTTATAAATTACAGCTAATTGTTATAATTGATATTGTGATTATTATGTTGCTACGTATATTTATTGCGAAACAGTATTCTTCACAACGATACGCAAATTATTTATGAATAGAACACAGAATAGACGTTAATGTTCTGTTTCTTTTTTCACAAAGACTGCTCGCAATTAAGTTCAAACACTTTCTTTTTCTACGCGAGGTGTTTCCTTTTTCCTTTTTTTACTTTTAGGAATATATATTCGCCTCCTTGTCGTTTTTATTCTCTTAACGCGTTGTTATTGTGATACGCACGCTTCACGCGCTTCGTCGATCACGAATATACTAGACAGAATTTTATATATACGTAATCAACGAAAAAATAAATATATTTGTAACAAAAGGAACTGTAACGGCGCTTCTGATTTCGTATCGAAAAATTATCGTCTACTCTTTCCTATCCTCATCCGTTGTTCATTATTCATCCGGAAATCGATTCAAATATCCCTACATCGTACTTAGTTGTTAAAAATAGAATTAGGCAATCGACTATTTGTGTTGTTCGAGGTCCAAAAAGGCTGCGCCTCCTCGGGAAATCTATCTGCTCGCCGCGCCACGACAGAGAACGATAATCACACAATGAGTCATTCTCACTCCAGGCCGGGACCTCGCGGAGCGTGACGTCCCAGCTTTGTCTACGTGTAACTCATCTCATTTTCATTATGTAAGCACGCGCTTACTATGTATCTAGGCCTATTAGGGCTCCGTGGCGTCTTCGGAGCCGACGTGTACCGGAGAGCCTAACGCTCGACTCAGGGTCGCTTGTGAGCGCGCGGGAGTCAAAGAACCCGAAACCGGGCTTTTCACCGCTATAATTCGAATCACGCGGCTCAAGGAAGGGGGAATTCGCGGAATAAGTGATCTGATAAGGGGAGAGCGGAGGAGGCAGCCTGAGATCTAAGAAATGTGAAAAATTTGACGAGAGAAGCCAGCTCGAGAGTGAAGAAGAGCAGGCTGAGAAATGATTTCGCCCACGAGAATTCAGACACCTACCGTGTTTCACGCTGCTGCGAATAACTTGTATGTAGCGGCCACCGAACAGTAAATCCGTTCGATCACGGTTACACTGACGCATTGTCCGTTAGCAGCGTTATAAGCTAAATCCGAATCTGACGTCAGAACCGGAGGAGATTCGCGAATACTATTAAAATACGATTATATTATCATGCCGAGCGAGCGGCTTGCAATTAATCAGTCGTATCCCAGCGAGAAATAACTCGTCGATCGATATCGAAAGGACGGCGAATCGATGTCGAAAAGTTCAAATCGACGAGTCATTTCTCACTAGGATTCTGAAATACGCAGCCAAAGTGTGACCTTGGGACACTCGTGATCGCACGAAGATGTAATTACGCGCAGCTCCCGCGTGAGTAAAAGTGCAGCTCGGCGATTAGCCGAAAGCAAAGCGCAGTACCGGCGTTTTCTAATTGCCGCAAGATCGATTAGCATGCCGCGAGAGAGCGCGATGGAGGCGCGTTTAAGGACAATAGGTCATAAAGCGGTATCCGAGATTGGCCAACTGCAAAGCTGACGTCGCCGACGACGGCGGCGGGTTTAACCACTCAATCGCTTTTACGCAAACGAAACGACCACTTTGCACGCCCTTTTCGCCCGCGACACGCCCGCCACGTAAGAAAATTGTCTTCCCAACACGCGTTAGACCATTCGAGAGGACTTCGAGGAAGCAACCTCTCGTCTGGCCGAACCGTTGCGACAGACAGGTGCAGCATTTTCACTTTCTTCTCGACTTGACGATAACGTAGCGTGTATAAGAATTGCGCTTGTGATATAATTGGACTTTTCCGGCAAATACGACAAGGAATGCGCTCACTCTCCCGAAGAAGACAAAATTCATCGTCGCGATGGAGTCGTGAGAGAATAGAAATGACGTGAGAAAGTGATTTTAAAATATATAAAATCTCTGAAGTAAAATAAAAAATTCCGTGTACCATTCTTATCCTTGACGTTTTGAACGTTTGACACTTTTTTGATTTTCAACCTTTGCTTGGTCACCTACCGAAGCGACAAGTATTCGTGTAAAACAATCACCGAGAAAGCGTTCGACGCGACGCGACTATGAATCTTATGATCGATAAATACGCGCATGAATCCCAATCGGAGAAGTGAAGCACCGTAACGAGAATCCGACTGAATTCTTACGAGATCGCAAGCTATTTACGCGGGCGAACGCCAGAGTGCACACGCAGCTTGATTTCGCAACTCGCGAGCGTGCGCCGGTGCGTTAATTAAATACAGGCGCGAAACCGCAAGAGAACGCAGAGATAGGAGAGAGGAGGGAAGAGGAGAGGAGAGGAGAGAAGAGAGAGAGAGAGAGAGAGAGAGATTCGCGTGCGCGAGCGCGAGCGCTTATCCTGCGAGGCGAGCACGAGCTCCTTTGAGCGTGCAAGCGTCACCGCCGACCGAGTAAGAGAAGAAACGGACGAGGCAGAAGAGGAAGAAAAGCAGCGGCGGCCGTCCGCGGGAGGAAGCAGAGAAGAGACCGGCATAACGCCGGCCTCTCTGCTGTATAAGACAATGATACAGTTACACGATACTCTCAGTAGTGAACCAATCGTAAGAGGCACGACGCTTGCCTCTTCTTCTTCTTCTTCTTCTTCTTCCCCGTATCTCGCCGCGAATACGAGAGTATAATGAACCGCGGCAGGAACGACGCCAATTAGGCGCGGCCCGTTAATTAAAGGAGCGAACGCCCGCTGGATATCGCCGGAAGGAGCCGCTCGAAGACAAATCGCCGCCGATCGACGCGAGATGTTCACTCCGCCGCGGCGTATCGATCGAGTCGGTGATCGGGTCCGTGATTTACGACAGTGAAAACTGCAGATCTTGTTCTCTTCTACAGTGATGACCAAGCTACCCTGATAATTGTCCAGCCGAGAACGAGGGGTTGTTTTGACGACGGTGATTCGACAAGCTTTTTCTTGTCTTTCACGGTTCTTAACGCCGGCGGGAAATCATTGACAATTACCCGCGCAATCACGGGGCGGTCGCTAAACGTGCGCGCGAACGTATCTTTTCCACTGAACGGGTACTTTTTCAGGGACGTCTCGTGTGAATGAATCGTGATTCATAGATGATGTATAGAATGGGATGCCAGATAACAGCGTAGAAAGTAATAACTAAAGCGTTCGCATGCGTCAACGTCGGGGTCGGTGGCGGGTGAGTCAAAAGTAATTGGGACATAAATACACGTCGTATCGCGCTTATTATCGCGAGTAAATTGTCAGATTGTCTGACGATTGGCGCGAAGAGTGCGGTGAGAGTGTGACTTTTGTCGAAGCTATGAGAAAATAGAAAACACCGTACGTCATGTGAAGTGACGTGCGAAGTGTTTTCATAACACGAAGAATCTATCAACGGCGATGGAGCGCCAACGAGTGTTTCTCGTATTCGTTATTTATTTTCTGAGATCCTGTCGAGTATCGCACTCGATCGGCCTGACGTTTGACAATCAGCTGGTGATCGTCGCGAATGGTAAGTAACGATCGCCGAAAATGCCGAACGCTTAACTGATAATCGAACGATAACAACGCGTAATGATTGCACGCAGATTGCTACACGAGAGTGGCCATCGGGTCGAAATTGCCCGACACGGACGTCTTCTCCAGCGTCGCGGTAGCTAGCATTTCGGAATGCGAGGACGAATGTTCCAAGAGGAGGAATTCCTGCAACGCGTTCGCTTTCGGGTACGCGACATTGCAAAGAGAAGCAAACAGAATTCTCACTGTATGCGCGCGAAATTAGAAAAATACCAATAAAAAATTAGATTAAAATAAAAGGGACAAAAGATATAAAGATAGGAAGAAATAACAAAAAAAAAAATATGATAAATTATAGCGACTATACAGTCACATACATATTTTCCGAAGTGTATGATATCTTCATTTCATCGGCAGCTAATTTACCGCCAAATATCCTCATTATATATTGGCATATGTAGGATCGGCATCAAAGGTAACGGGACTTGCGCGTTGAGCATGAAAATGCCAAAATTCGAGGAACTGGAGTTCCACGCCGATTACGATGTCTACTTGAGAAGTCAACGCTCGCCGAACTGTGAAACAGATCGACTCTACAAAATGGGAAACGGTGCCTTCGGACAGGAAAGAAGAAACGAGACGAGACCGGCCACGCGATTCGGCAGCGGCTTCTTAGGTCCGACAATGTCAAGTATCCTGTCATCTCCCAGGTACGATTATCCGATTATTAATTTCAGATAGAGATTCCGCAATTACTATCTCCATTGTTTGCCTATCTCGATCGCGAGATGGATATTTCTGATGGAAGTTTGTGCAACGTACGCATCTTCATCAATGCATCGTCCCGTATAGCACGTTGTTAGAGTATAAAAATGTTTTTGTTAAATAAATAATTCGAACGAGCGTAAGTATCGCGACTTATCTTTAAATTTTCTTGACCACTTTACGTTTTATAAAAAATAATCTAATAAATGCAACAATTGCTGCAACATGTGAGCTTCACAGAAGTCAAACCGCTCAACTACGCTTTCGTAAATTTCTGAATCTTAGAGCACATATAATTGATGTGCTAAAGTTCCCAACATTAAGAAATTTGCAAAGTCGGTTGAATTGTCGGTTCGATTTTCAAAAAGCTTGTCTATGATCTCGAATAACACGCAATTTCACGTCCGAAGGGTTATGGGAAGCATGATGCCTAGCGTCGCCGGTAATCCTTCGTATCAGCAAGGATACACCCCGTCTTTCGACGATGAGCGCCGAATCGCCGACATCCTTCGGAACAAAAACCCAACACCACTTGGTGGGAATAATCCTTTCGGAAGCAAGACCGAAAAGATCGACAACTACAACGACCTATCTCTATATTCAAACCGGAAACCCGCCTTCGGTCAAAGGATCTCTTACGATCCGAATGACGGTCGCTCAGACCTCGGTGGGTCGTTCTTGCGAAATCCTTTCGCGGACGTGAGTCGCCTGAATTTCGACAATGATCTTCATTCATACAAAGCCCTGACGGCCCTTCACAACGGGCCCTTCGAGGTTTTCTCGAGACCTATCTTGATCCATAACACATCCGCGAAGGACAAGCCGCCGACGGACTTTGGATTCTGGAGTGATCCGATCAAGCATCGAAATACAGTCGCGAGTCACCAGCTCAATCAACATCGGAATCAAGGATTCCTCGACAACACGTACAAAAGTCACGGGATCGTCACGAGGCCGAAGCAGAACGAATTGGCCGCAGGTAACCGCAATGCCGGGAAGGTGCCACCCCGTCTGACCATCGGCAGCTCTAACGGCTTCGAGAACGTGAAGATCTCCTACGGAGGATTCAAGCCTACTGCCGCTTTTTGGACTCCAGGATCGTCGCTCGACGCATTTCGCAACTTCGGCACGAAGATCACCGAGAAGTCGAGATGTAAGTGCTAACGCGATCTCTCATTTTCTAACCGAAATAACTTCTCGCCATCTCCGTCTCTCTATCGGCAGTCTGCGTCAGCCCGATAACAAAAGTGCGACTCTCGAATTGGATTGCGCGCGTATAACGCGTGGACTCCCGCTGCAACTCCGACACCTCGGGAAGCGGAAACGCGAGTCTCCGTCTTTAACGAGGCGTTACACGAAAGGCACCGGAGGCACCAATCTTCGGCCAATTGTCGCTCCGCTGCCACTTCGCGCATCTGACGCCGCGCACGTGAGCCGGCGCAACCTCAATTTTTCTACACGGCGATGATTCTACGGCTGCATTGAATACACGCTCGCGCGCATTCCCGACAATTTGACCATCTTACGTAAAACGTAACATTGTTCCGTTACAATTCTCTCGTCTCTTGGGATTCTTCGCGCCTCAAAACACGAATGTAATCGCATGACACTTCAAATTACAGCGTCTGATTTCTCTCAACATCCTCACACTGCTGAGTACGCGTGCTTTACGAGTACGAATTAATTACATCGCACCGTAAATTACTCATATCTACACGTTGACGTTCGAAAAAAGCTACCGTATAACAACAACGCATTCGCGATCCCTAATTCAACTTGGTCGTCGCGGTGAACCGCGGATCGACGTTTATCGAGCCACGTTCATCTGCGAACCGACTATTGACAAACGGCAACGGCATTGACACGGATTTTAAACCGTATGCAAATTAGCTCGCTGCATCCGTCCACTTCCGACGTAACACGGGTATCTATCGCATAGTTCTTTCTGTAACTTGGGCGTAATCGAACAACCCGTTGTTCTCGAAGTTCTAGAGGATAAAGTAACAATCATAAAATATGATACGTATTATTTAAATGATTAAATAAGGAAAAAAGCCCACGTTAAAATCCAGCGAAGATCGGCGAGTTTCTTTTCTGTGCAATTTGTCGTCCGAGCAACGACCGGTTAAAGGAAACTCGATGACTTTAGAGATTGCCAACGCAGGACGGGAATGGCCGTTGCATAAGGGAGAAAAATAGATGTCGAGACGTTACAGGACGCACGGCTTCCGGCTCGCGTGATCCACAGACATGAGACGCTTTTACTTTCGACAGTTGGCACAAGTCCCTTATTCTTCTGCCTGCGCTTCGAATTAATTGCGCGCGACCTGTCCGTTCCTTTGATCACGAATTCTTGCAGTCGATTGGACGCAAATACGGCTTGCGACACGATTTACCGAATCCTAGCTTCCGGACTCGATCCTCGGGATTATCTCCGCGAACGACCTCGGAACTAAGATGTAAGAGTCGCGTGAGGATCACGTAATAGAATCGAGCGCTAGTCTCTCGCTGAAATCGCGGAAGTGTGACTTTGCTGAAGTTATAGTGCGACAACGAGAGCTCGGCTGGCTGAAATAATTGAGCTAATTGTGACCCTGACGAATCTTGAAGGACGTGCGACGGCACCTCCCTTCTAAAGCGTGATGTCACTTCCCTATCGCTCCTTGGCACAAAAATTCTTTTAACGACGGAAAAATGCAAATGGTTCCGGCGGTTGGTCATTCAGAGAACAAGCTTTACGGCGAATAAATCCTATAATCTCTCGTGCGTATTTTAGTCGAAAGGACAAAGGATGTACTTTCCAAGGAGACTCGACAAACACTGTGAAAAAAATTAAACAAAAAAAAAAAACGTTATATAATCGTAGAGTTAATGCGACTAAAAAAGTTTTAAAAAATACTAATTAGATGCCAGAAATAACAATCCGAGCAAAACATTTTTGCGAACCCCGCAATTGCCGAAAAGATATCCGCACAGATCGTGATCGGTGATTTGCACAAAGCGACAAACGACCACATTTGTCAGAGGAACGTAGCGCTCGCGTGTCCATGAGCAAGGAAAAATTATAGTAAGTGGAATCATTAATGATCATGTAACGTTGAGACCCCTCCCCCGACGTGTGAGCACAGTTCCTCCCACTATTCCCGCGGAAACGTTCACTTTTCTATAAAACGATGCGAGCCCGTAATTTCTCCGTTACTTTTTGCGCGATTTTCAGTTTGCGCCATTTTTCTCGTGAACGTGCCGGAGCGCGAGACGCGACGACAACGGCGACGGCGACGGCGGCGGTGTGACTCGTTAACGCGAACATTCGTTCCTTCCTGGGAGCCGTGAAAATGGCCATGCCTCGCCGCAGCTCACAGCGCATTATCGCGAGAACAAATCGCGGCTCGAAGGAAAACTCGAAACGCTGAAGAACCGCCGCCGAGCCTCCGAACGCGCGTTCGCGCAGCGGTGGTCGTTCCTATCGCGCGAGAGCTCGCGGGGACCGATGTTACAACGCGCATTCCGGTAAACCAATTAATTGTCGAACGAATGCGGGAATTATGTCGGCGCGACGACGACGGCTGTGGATCTTCGTGTTGGCGGTGTTTGTCCAGCGAGCCGCCTCGGACTCGATTATCATAGTGGAAGACGAGTGCTCGCGTAAGTCTCGCGGGGGAATAGAAAAGTAACATCGCGGGGAAAGTGTAAATTGAAAATTTATTTTGTGCAGCGTGCTACAGGAGGCTGCTGTCCGGCAAGAAGAGCCTGGATCTGCACGTCAGACGCGCCGTCGAATGCGAGAAGATCGAGGATTGCCATCGCGCTTGCGACTATGAGAAGCTCTTCATTTGCGAGGGTTTCAATTACAGGTAGATGTTATTTTCGCGAAACTTTTGCGGGCACAATTTAGAAAACGCGAGAATCGCGATTTTTTTATTCGCGTTGAAGGAGAGGATTTTGGAAAATTCTTTCTCGGGAAGAAAGAGAAATAAAATCTGTCGCGTCGCGAAAGAAATTCCAAAACGACATAGTACAGCTTAGTTTAAGCTCAAGTTAAGTCCTTAAAAGGATAATCTTGACAAATTCGCTCGGTCCGGTTGTCCGTGAGTTTTCGCCAAAGAAAAACACATCGATCAGTGAACTCGCCTTCGGCGAGTTGACTGAAAACGTAATCCGCAACCGCAGCTAACGGCGATTATTCACGCTTGGAGTCGTTCGACGATTTTACGCATTTCCATAGCCACGCGTACGTATCTAGGGTACGTATCATCAAATGCACGCGCGAAATACAATACATACGTATGCATGACCCACCGCCGTGAGGATTGCATCACGGACAATTTGAACACGCCGCAATCTGTGACACGCTTCTCCGTCGAGGGACGATCACGCACACATATCGGGAAAACTGCTGCTATTTTCCGATTAACGTATCCCGAAAACGAGTCGTAACCGACCACTCGATCTCGATGGTTAAGCTCGGAGCTTGAGATTAATTCACGAATTAATTCGCGAATTTTTCTGCACGATGCATTTACATGTTAATCAATGAAATTATGTGTGATTTTGCATGAGAAGACGTATCGGCAATGGAGCGAGAGGGATGTGCGAGATGACGTCAGTACCGTACTCTCGTATGGATCTCCATCGAGATTTCGTGTCGGATTCTCAATGCGATTATTACGAGAAGGATCCGAATTGTGCGATCGACGCGGCTGGAACGCGGCCATCCTGGTGGAATCAACCATCTAGACCTAGCCAGACCTACGGTGTACCTGCTAGCGGAAGACCCGACGTGAGGTGTGGCAATTTAAATTTTAGCAATCGAATCTCTTTTTAAGCTTTATGTTGATGACGACAATTATTACTACTAATTGTTAACAATTGTTATAGTTTTAAAAAGCCATTTACGTTCACGCGGTTATTGAAACGTAAAGCTAAGCTTGTACTTCGCTATCCACGTCGTTCGCCGACGTGGATTTTAACCCGTGCGAAAATTTCAAGACCTTACACGCCCGATCGACGTCCTCTGAACGAGATACCGCGACCTTTGGACTACGACCGACGTCCACTCAAGGAAATACCACGGCCCTTGGATTTTGATCGACGTCCCGCGAACGAAATCCCGCGACCCTTGGATTATCCTCATCATCGGCACGTGGAGCACGACCGGCGACCACCGGTGATCTACGGAGAACCTCATCGCGTACTCTACGAGGATACGTTTGGTCAAAGAGCTTATCCCGACAATCAAGGCTCGATACGAGGCGGCTATCCGGCGGCGAGACCCGAAGATCGATTTGACTACAGCGGCCGATTTCCACCTAGACGACCCAGCGACGACGACTTCTACAACAGAAACTTGCCATGGTCACGGTACCCGAAGTATCCGGATAGAAGAATCGATCAGGGACCTACCCATGACATAGGTAACACTTGTTAAAAATTCTCGCATATGTCCAAAAAATACATAAAAATGTACACAGCAAAAAAATACTATTCGTAAATTATTTGTGTATTATAAGTTATATATGAAAGACGGTAAGTGTAAATTGCGTTATCGCTTACGTATGCGCTCGTCGCATCGCAATGCAGGTACAAACGAGATCGGTCCCTACTTGCCGGAACATCGGGAGGATCCGAGCCGCGATTGGGGTTCTTACGGTACCGTTTATGGCGGCTCCTATGGCTATGACACGAATTACGTGAGCAACAAGTTCGACATACCGAAGTACTACCCGAAACCGCGGCCCAAACCACCGCGACCCTACGAGAACGAGCACTTCTACGGCGAGTTTTACAATTACGGCGGCGCATTCGGATACGGCGACAGTTACATCCCGGCCGATCAGGATCCGATCTACGGCGGCACCGGGAAGACGGACGAGTGCTCGGTCAGAGCAGGCGCAGGATTCAGACTCGGTAGAAGAGTCGTTCGTAAGACATTTTTGACGCCGAATTTGGATCAATGCGAGAGTCTGTGCGTTAACGAGAGAAGCTATATCTGCATGAGCTTCAGTTACAGGTATATCCTAATCATCCTTAATGTGTGTACGTATGTATATGTGAAAAAATAATTTAATTGCACAACGCAATTTGTACTATGTAATAATGACTATGGAATAATGTAATAACTATACTGATATGTCAAATATTATGATCAAGTACTATGGAATAATGTAATAATGACATTGCTTGGGCAGGTACAATGTAGCACCTACGGATCCTACAGATAATTGCCTTCTCAGTGACGTTTCATACAAGGATTTAAATTTCTACACCGACCTCGAGCCGGATCGCGACTATGATATTTACGCTATGGTGGCCAATTCGAGAACTTGCGGCACGAAGAGAGGACCGAGTCAACATCCTCCGGATGGTATAACGATTTAAACGAAACGATTTAGTTTTCCATCTATCTGAATTCGAATGTAATTTAATCAAAAAGAAAAAAAAAGAAAAAAAGAAAAAGAAATGAAAAGACTTTAAAAATATTTTTTATCCGCACCCTAAATTCTGTTTGCAAGATAAAAGACAAAATAATTTGCAGTAAATAATCTAATGCATACTTTGCTGTCCCGAGCATTGAACCGAGCTACTGCCCTGATTACGCGTTGTCGTACGTTATACGTTCCGCTTTGTGTTTCTGGTAACAACTAAAATCACGAGGAACAACTATGAAAAAGAAGAAGAAAAAAAGGAAAAAAGAGTCCTTTTACCCGATATTATTCGCAAAAGTCACGAAGAGTTTTATGAAACTTTTCTAGAATGTTTTTGGAGGGTCAGAAGCGGATTCGGAATGCCGGACGATGTCGTTAAAAAATCGATAATAGTTGACAGTCTAGGAGAATGTCAGATAGAATGCACAGTATCGCAAGATTTCACGTGTAGGAGCTTCGCGTTTAAGTAAGTATCACATTCGATAATACAAGATATAGCAAAAAAGTAATAGTGCAATATAGTAAAAAATAATGCAATATTCTGATATATATAACAGTTGTGAAAAAATATTCTCAATAAAATAGTATAACATTCTGTATATAGTACAGAATACAATATGAAAAATATATGTATGATATAAAATATATAACAGTAAACATATAGAGTTTAATATATAATGGTATATGATTTAAATTCAATGATTCAATTCAAATGATATATAACATAACATGTTATTCAACATAAAATAATATTCAAAATATATAATCATAGAAGTGTAATAAATAAATATTAAATAAAAATATATATATAAACATATCAAAATAAATTTAATTATATATTGAATATATTGATTATATTTTCATGTACATTCAATATCTTCCATGTATGTGGTCAAATGTAACAAAATAAATTGAATGTTATAAGATATATAATATAAATTCAATGATTCAATAATTCAAATTATATATAATATAAATTCAACACACATATAATGATTTTTAATATGTAATTAAATATAATAAATATTAAATATATATATAATGTAGATTTAATTATATACTGAATATATTATATTACATATGTTCAATATATTCAAAACATAATCAAATATAATCAAATAAATAATTGAATATTATCAGTAAAATAGTGTACTTCCTATTCTGTACATCATAATATGTTTCAGATATGGATTAGATCAAGGACGACAAGACATCCTGACGAATTGCTACTTGAGCGACTGGCAGTCGCAAGATATTAATCCTGCCAATATGCCGGATATGGATGGCGCAGAATTATATGAAAGGGGCAGTTTCGGTAGGGGATGTCATCCTTATTCTATCCCATTTTTCAATACAGGGCGATTCAGTGGCAAGCAGTCGTCACACGAAGACGAAGGTAATATGTTGTGCTACACGTTGCACATGTTCTTCAGTAGTATTTAATGTCATTAAGAAATCTTCTTTTAAGATTAGAAAATTAAAATTCAGGGTCACTCCAACACCGATTTCACCGTTTAAAATTAAACGTGACTCCAAAGCTGGACTAATTTTCATTAATAAAATTTTTTGCAGTATGCTATTCTGGGTATAATAAACCCTGCAAATTGACACCTTATGCTGTGCTCTTGGCAACATATGTAAATTCCGAGCAAGATTGTCGACAAAAATGTTCAAGAATGAGAGAAAGTGATTCTATCCCTTGCATGTCCTACAGTTATAAGTGAGTATACTCTCGCGAGAGAGATTTTGATATTTTTATCAAATTTTAGATTAATGTAATAAAAATGTATGCACAATTAACGTTAGATATAATTGAGAATCGCGTCAATTCGATTTATTACAAAATAAGACTCATAAATATAATAGCATGTCACTTTACGATTTGAAAATATAGAATTTATATATCAGTATATAACTTTCATTTTTTCAAATATGTGTGAACAATATAATATTAATTCGTTTTCCTTCGGTCTGCAGGCTTACCGCTCACGGCACAGAAGAAAATTGTTTACTCAGTGATGTACCAATACGAGACTTACGACTTGGTCTGGATTATATCTACGACGACAATCACGTCATGTATGCGTGGAAAGATCTCGACCCTCACTGCATGGTCACCAGTTACTCCATTGATGACGATCATGTGTTTGGTGGTCCAGGTTCATTGAGACCGCTTCTTCCAGGTCCATCACAGCCTAATTATCGCCCAATAGGCGATACCAATTACCCGAGCACGAGACCCGATACTTATCCCGATCCAAGACCTTTCTTTACAATACCGAAACCGAGCGGTCATCACGATATGAGACCATACGATCCCGATAAACCCGATCCAATTAAACCGTATCATCCCGGATACGATAATTACGGTGATAAATTTGGATATGGTGCTCCCGGTGGAATCACTTACGGACACGGATTTTTCTATCGTAAGTCGACCTTACAATTATCAATATTATTTATTCTACGAAATTTCGAAACGATTTATCGGTATTATCGATAGTGAAAGATGAAGATAGTGAAAAAAGATAAATTAAAAGATGTAATTTATTCACTTTTCTGTTTCATTTTAGCTGATGAATATTCAACCTTCCGTTATTACACGGTAAACGGTTATCCGTGCAAAAGAGGCACAAAGTGTGAGAGGAATAAAATTGCTGGATTTTGGGCCTGCGAGACCGAAGGAAGCGAATTCGGTAGTTGGGATTATTGCTGCGCACCGACTCATCATTGCGGCTTTTCGCAAGGATATCATTACCCATGGTATATTGTTATAAATATTATGGCACAATTTTATCATGTCACATTTAAGAATACTATGGCAAAATGACTATGGCAAATGAACTTTACATTTTTATCTCTTAAATCGTCGCAAGTATATTCTAGATGGGAGGAAACATTTTTGTATAAAATGTCAGTAAGAAAAACGAACTTTCCTTGCACTGAGCACGCAAAAATAAGTTGCATCACTGATCGCCCTTTATAAAAATTTAATAACAGCTCACCGAATTCTTACTCCATTTTTAAAGCATCAGATGTCGTCTGCTGTGCCTCTTTTTACAAAGCATCACACTCTTTTTCTGAAAATAAGAAACAATTTTTTAAATAATCTTTATTAGATATTGTTTCAACATTTTAGAAGAAACAATATCTATATAATGAGAAATACTTTCAGTGCTTAAACCTTCAAAGACTAAATAACACTATTTATTATTGTTAACACTTATCGCACTACTGACCTATGCACTAATTGCAGACCATTCCTTTATCCTTGATTTTATGCAGCTTTTTTACAAATTTCTAACAGCTGCAATCTGCCTTTTCTATTGCAATCTTTTCTCCTAGAATGATGACAAAAGGTAACTTTTCAAGCAAAATTCATTATTTAAATTATTTAAGTGTTCATTATTTAAATATTATATTGGCGTTTTGAAACGATAATAGCAACTGTACACCAATAAGTACTTTTTATATATGTTTTTCATAAACTCAGTAACAACTCAATAGAAACACTTACCACTGTCAACATTTCTCGCGTTCCTAATTAATCCTAATTAATTAATTGCCACCTGCTCTATTGTCTTTATCGTCACAATGCGTCCTGCAGGCTCTCGGACTTTTTTCTTTTAGAAACGAAGAAAACATCTTTTTTATTGTAAAATTCGTTATTTCAATATTCATATATACGTCAACGTTTCAAAATGACAATGATGATCATATATCAAAAAGCTTCTCGTACCCGATAAACTCTATAACAACTAAATACGAAGACTTACGACACTCCTGATCCATCAGTTACACTGCCTGCTCCATCCTTGGCTTTCCACGATTTCCCCCCTTTGCTCGCACTCACGCCTTCTAGAAACAAAAGACAACTCATCGCTCAGATGTTATGTCGTTCTTGTGGAGAGTGCGTGGTGGCCGTGCGTGTCGAGAAATTCTTCGTACCCCCTGCAGATTCAAGAACACTGCTACGAACTTACTACTTATCGCATTCCTATGTCGGGGTACGACGATAGATGCATCGATTGTCGTTTGTCGCTTTTATCTCTGATCTATCGCGATTTTTCCGCGAACTTTCGTGCTCTCTCCAATCAATAACAAAGGAAACGATTTTTCATGGGAAGTTCGTTCTTTATGTGTTCCGTTAGCGAATTGAACAGTAATGGCGGTCGCGCAACGAGAAATTTTCGTACCCTCGCTTAGTAATTCAATTATTACGAGTACTCACCGCTGCCAAAGCTTATCGCATTCCTGATCTACAAGTAGCCGCCCGCTTTTTTTCTATCGGCCCCCCGCGATTTCCTCGCGATTTTCCATATTTTTTTCTCCTAAAAACGAAGGAGACAATTTTTCATGCAAAATTCGTTATTTAGGTGCTACGTTGGTGTTTCTGAGGATCAATGGCGGCCGTGCAGCGAGAAGTACTTCCCGTACCTTCCAAGCCCCCGACCCTCCGTACATATCCCAAGCAGCGACGGTGATCGTCCCCACGATCGGCTCGATCCCCACGATCCCGGTAGACACTGGCCGATCACGTACTTGCATCGAGAACCGCCTCCGAATTGTACCGATTCTCTCGCGTCCGCCAACAGCGAAAATCGTCGCACAAACGGGACGACACCGGGCACGATCGAGAAACCGGCAAGCACCACCGGCACGACTCAGCCAAGCGATAATACTACTGCTAGAATCGTAAGAACACGTCAACGACGTCTACGAGCACGAATGACGCCGATAAACAATCAAACGAGGCATGATTATCCGATAAACTCACCAAGAAACGACGCCCAAATGTTAACGACCAAGCAGGGTCAACGGTCAAATGGACGACCTGCGAAAATTGAGCAAGTTTCGAAACCACCGCGGGCTGTTCCATTGGGCGCGCTTGTCCCCCGCGATGCTACCGTCACGCCACACTTGTCAGCTGCTGCCACCAACGGCGCCGATTCGCAACTGAGGCATGCGCGAATCGAAGCGAAAAGTAACGTCGGGATAATTAAAGTGCCTCTGATCGAGCCAAACAATTCACTGCCGCCAACGAGAACTTAAATGTCTGATAACGATCTTGAATATTCACATATGTCGTGATTTCGTCGTCGAAAGAATATTACGTTGCAATTGTTGATGCTCGGACGATAACTATAAGATTTTATTATTGAAATCAATTGACGATAAGTTGACAGGCCGAAGGAGATGTTTGCGTAAACATCACTAAATTGACAATTATATCTCATAATCGAATTAATCTTCTTAGTTTTGTAAATATATAGGACTTAGGTTGGCGAATCTTCGAAATGAACATTCAGTCAGCATTCATATTATTGCGCTTAAAATGGAGACACTTAAACACACATGGAATATTTAGCACGCGATAAAAATTATAGATATTTGAAATACGTTTTAAAGACGTCTAATAGACGTTTAAAAAGAATAGGATATTTTATAGTCGTTTTTAGAACGTCCTTCATATGTTTGTATTATTTGTCTGTGTTATCGCTTTACGACATACATATGTAACTGTTTGCAATTCTCGGAAACCTAGCTGATACTCCGATGATCAATTTGTAACAGTTAATTGAATTATTTCTTTATGTGATAATTTAGTTGTGAACAAAATTCGTACAATAAAGAGTTAACGCATCATCGATTGTTTATTCCATATCTGAGGATAATTTATCTTCCAAATATTTTTTAAATTGACGCCAATAGAATTATTTAATTTAAAGAGTTATTAATATTTTCTCATCATAAAAATTTTTTTCTAGACATTAACATAAAGCTACCACTACGACAAATATCCTGCTTTAACAGGATCGTTCCCTCTGAATAATCAATAAATAATAAATCACAATAAGTGTATAATTGAAAGATTCTAATAATGATTATAAGATTCTAATAGTTGCAAAAAATTTTAATATATATATATATATGTGTGTTAGATGTCGATCTATGATCTATGTACGATCCTGCATCCACGCTCAATCTAATAATTCAGAAACTCTAAGACTGCGTTCGCTTTGAACGTTTACGCTACGAGCATCGTTCTATCTTTTTTCCACATGAAATAAGCAATAAAAATAAAATGACATTGAAGTACGTAAGTGCCAAAAGCGAACGCAGCCCAAAATGCAACCTCAGTGACATGATGCAACATAGACCATAGACTTAAGCCAGCGGCACACGGTGCTTGTTTTCGTGCTGGATTGCTTGCTGGATGAAAATACTACGTTCTGATTGGTGCATTTCCATCCATCTTCGGAAATGTACTAATCACAATGCAATATTTTCATCCAGCAAGCAATCCAGCACGTAAATAAGCACCGTGTGCCGCTGGCTTTAGGTTGTGTTCCGATATTCACTGATAGCACTGAAAATCTATAATATATGTGACATAAACTATATATTTTCAGTACTGGCAGTGAATATCGGAACGCAGCTATAGTATACCTAGACTACGTGTTCGAGGAATGGGGGTATATTTTACATAGAAAAAGATGCAGTCTGTTTTTACTTTACGTTCTCTCTCGCACGCTCTCAATAGAAGAGGAACAGGGGAGGCAGTCGCTAACCTGTACGATAATACAACAGCTGTTTTTTTTTATTTTTTCCGATATAGTGATCAACCTAGATCACCGTGCCGTCAGTTCACCTCGAGATATACAGGTGTAGCCGCTGTACCGTCGTACAGCGTTAGTAACTGCCTCCTCTATTCCTTTTTTATCGAGAGTGTGCGAGAGAGAACGCAAAGTAAACATAGAGTGCATCCTTTTCTATGTGAGATATACCCCTACTCCTCGAACACGTAGTCTATACTATAACTGGTATACTATACTATAGTTGCGTTCCGATCCTTTTATGCGTGAGTTATATTCCCAACCTTGAAATTTAGGAGAAAAACGCGCAGTTTAGTCTAGGTATACTATGTCTATGATATAGATTGTATGACAACAATTTGAGGTCGTAACTGTGAATTTTGATGGCTTCTCAGGTAGTAAAATAATTCGCTCTCTTTCTGATTTTACGCTTTTATAGAATATTAAATCGAAAAGATAGGAGTACTTGATGCTCCTTAAATTTTCTTCGATCTTGATTTCTCGATAACGCTTACACGAAAAATCCGGAACAGAAATCAATTTAGAAACATGCCATTCTTTCAGCATCCAACACAAGATAATATGACGCAATAGTGAAGATTGGTAATTCGTTATCTGCGATAAGTCGAACATACAGATAACGTGGTTGTGACATTTTCCTTCGATTTACATCTCCTCGAGTTTTACATAAAACACTCGGTTCGTATTCGAAGGCAGTCGGTTGTTCCACGGATAAGTAGCCAGACGTGTCATACTCGCATTGCCATGTCAATGGAAAAAAAAATCGATGTTGATATAAGACGTAAGTCCATACAATTGTCACGATTATTTGGTTGAATTATTTAGTTGATATCACTTAATAAGCTTCCATTCATATTATAATAAGAAACAAAAGGACAAGAATAATTTGCAGATTAAGGAAGTAGAAATAAGACATGATGAAAATTGTTATATCACGTTATATATATGGCAGAATGGATTCAATCAGATCGTCAAACATACAGATATGCACACAAAGACGTTTTTCTTTTTTTTTTGACTTTTTATTTTTTTAGAAATTCTAGTTACTGACAGTCACACACATATAAAATCATGAAGTACTGTTACACTCTCATATATATAATTATAACTACACATAATAAATAGCTAATATAAAATTAATTAAAACTGAAAATTAACGAAGAAATGTGTTAGAAATGTGTTCAAAATTCTCAAGTATTCTCATGTTTTACGTCAAAACTCGAACAGGTCGTAATTTTGAATTTATGCTCACTTATTTTTGTGTAGATATGCGAATTAAATACAAGCGAAAAGAGGATGCTTTCACGGAAGATAAACTAGTGAGTAAGGAACCAATTGGACAGTTCAAAGCATGGTTCGAAGACGCCTGTCACCATTGGAAAATTCTGGAGCCTAATGCAATGTTTGTCGGAACAGCGACAAGGTAACATTTTTTCTGCTAGAGATCTTGACTTAAGAGAAAAATAAACACCGCAGCGCATGTTAATGAAGCGCGAACAATGGTGTACGATAATTACTACAGGTATGATATGAATACGATTCTTTTCTCAGAGACGGTATTCCGTCCATTCGCCCGGTCTTGCTAAAGCATTATAGCACCGAGGGTTTCACGTTCTACACGAATTACGAAAGCAGGAAGGGCCAAGAAATAGTAAGTTTCGCACGTTTGTGCGACAAATTCGTACAAAGAAAATAAAATTTAAAAAATGTGATGCATTTGTTTGCAGGCTGAAAATCCACGTGTCGCACTCACGTTCTACTGGGAGGGTATACAACGAAGTGTACGATATTTGTTCCTTTATTAATCGTTAAACTATTCTTTGCGATTGTTCCCTAATTATTTCTTTTCGTGGTTGTCTTTGTGATATTTAATTTTCTCGATTTCCGATTGCTTTCAGATACGTATCGAAGGGATCGCGAAGAAAACATCGCCGGAAAACTCGGACAGTTATTTTCAAAGTCGACCGTACGAAAGTCGAATTGGCGCCATAGCCAGCAAACAGAGTAGAGTGATACCTAGTAGAGACTTTCTTATTGAGAAAGAGACAGCGCTTCTCGCGGAGTATGAGGATGGTCCTAGACCGGTTAAAAGACCGGAATGTTGGTAAGTAACTTGATATTTAATCCCTAATTTTTAATAAAAAGCTAATTATTAAATCAAAATGCAAACACCAATCGTCCCCACTCCGTTTTTATGTCAGGTATAAAACTTGAAGAATAAACTTAGGTTTATATTATTTTTTCGATTCAAATAAGACATCTCATCTTTTCAGGGGCGGTTATCTCGTCGTGCCGCATTCCGTAGAATTTTGGCAAGGCCAAAGCGATCGTCTTCATGACAGAATACGCTTCAGACGTCCGGAAGCGAACGAAAGAATCGACAATATGTTTGTACACGAAGGAGAGGACGGATGGGTTTACGAAAGATTGTCGCCATAGAAAAACGCACGGTATTGTCATTGGAATAGAATAATAAGAAATACAACGTTCTTAGGATAGTAGACAGATGAACAATTAGCTCCTCGCAATTTTCTTCTGCGAAAAAATAGATAGTATTAGTTATTCATGCAACATTCCAAATGAATACCTTATGTTTCAAGTGAATACCTCATATTTGCTCAAAGATAATAATTTATATGGAAAGAACAATATATGATATCTGTATAGTATCGAGACAAAAATCTTGTTTTTCGCTGGTGGAGATGCAAGGATCCTTAATGAATCTTCCTCATAAGTTTTAGTATTTCACGGTTCAGTCCTAAAATGTATACACAATCATTAACTGATCAAGCTGATGAACAAAAGAATATATTTACACTATAATTATTCACCACATGAAGTCTTCCAGATAGTTTTAACGTCGAAGTGCCCTTCATTCTGCACAAAACTCTCGAATTGCCTCATCCCACCACCCACACCAAAATAATAAATTTTTCCAGCGACGAATCTAACAGTAGGATCCAGTTCTGTCTTATAATTTATTTATATAAAAATAAACTAGGTGACGATGTAAGGTACTCACATAACACCGTCGATCTTCAGCCTCTTTTTAAAAATCTCATATAGCTTTTTGTAATTATCCGGATTATAGATTGTCTCGCTCGTAAAAATATAATCGTATCTTTTACTCTCGTCATCGTCGAAAAGTGTTGCAAAGGACTTCCAATCCCCAGCATAAAATTCGCATCTAGATAATATGCTCATATGATTGTCAAAGTTCGATAACACGTTCGGTATGGTCAAGGATCTTAGAACTTCTGCATTCTAAAAATAAAGAATATTCATTACTCGCAACTCACATTGCAAAATATTGTCTGTAACTTGTATACGAACGTAATCTTGAAAATGGACTGTGGAGTTTTGGAGAAGAGCAATAATGCCAATTAATCCTGCACCGCATCCCAAATCCAGGACAAGCTTATCCTTCAGTTCGATTTTCTCTTTCAGCATATATTGACCCAAATCAAAAGAGGATTCCCATATTTTCAAACCACCTTAATTGCATAGTTAATTTTCAACTCTTCAGAAATTTGAATCAACTTTCAAACTTCTCATGTACACACAAATATAAACACAAAACATATTTTATTTGAATAAAATTTTTTTATTTAATATTTCTTAAATATTTAATATGGATAATTAAAACAGTGCAGGAGAAATAAAATCCAACGGAATTTTCACAAAAAAATTGTTAGATAGAAATCAATTTTGGATTTTAAATTCACCTTCGTATTTCGCTGGAATAAGATCGGAATGTCGTAACTCTGCCTCGACGATACTCTGATTTTGCTTCCACGTACTAATAAAGTTTTCCCATATTTTATCAAAGCGAACTAATTTCAAATTATAACCAGAGAATATTTTTATTTCTCCATAACAGTCTGCTTCATATTTTTCTCCGATTTGTTCGGATGTTATTTGAAGCTTTGACGCGGGAATCCATTCTAATTCCTTTTCCTTGTCATCATTTTCTGAAATTATTTAAATTATTGTAACTTTTCAAGTATATATACTCTTTGAAAAAAGTCGTTTGAATTTTCGCGGGATAGAAAATCGATAAAATATCCTAACCTAATATTACAACCTATATGTGGGTAACCTGGAATACTTCTGATAAAATGATTCACTGTACCTTCGTCCGAATCGATTGCATCTTTTGCAAATCCGAATTTAAACATTTCTCCACAGAATTTTAGAACATTTTTCAAAATTAAGATGTTATATTTTCAGTACAATTTTAAAAGTTTACAGGAGCAGAGAGAAGCCTGAGAGCGGGCATGGCTGCATTTACAGCGTTATGGAAAAGTTGGCTGATTCGAAGCGCCAACTGGGTCCATTTTTCATGGACATGAACTACTAAGCCAATGTCCACGATTTGTTGGTACTATTCCGTACTATGTCCATCAATTATTTGGTTCTGTTCTGTGCTATGTTCACGAACAAGCTAGATTCGTTAGATAAAAACGAAGAATCGGTCTTTGTCTCACCACCAGTGAATAGATAATCGCGACGAAGCGAGCCAGCAGCGATGTTATCGTAAGGCAGACGCTAAAATGGTACTTCTGCTATTTTTTAAGATATCTTAAAACGGGCAACGGGGTTCGATAGAGAATCGTTTGTATCCGTTTGTACCACTTTGCATTTCGTTTGTACCTCGACCGGTTCGGAACTGGCTGTGTGCGTGCATGGGGGGGGGGAGGGGAGAGAATCCTCGTGCAAGCCTGTCACCAAATTCGCATCACTGATACCAATAATGTCAAAACCGAACAAGCTGCGGACAAGCGTAACTTGTAAATATCGGAGATCAACTATTTATCAGCTCATAGACAATTAATATGACAAGTTACCCGCGGAGACCCGTGTACTTCTCTTTCGTCTTTGCGTACAATTGCGATCAATAGAAAATTTTCACGAATTGTTCGGTTTTGACATCATTGGCATACGTGTGTATGTGTGTGTATATGTGTACACGTACACGTACAATTGCAATATACACTTATCATGTTAGCATTGATCATTTTTATTCATGCTAAAAGAAATAAGTATGATTATGTAAAGAATTTGTCTGCGTATTATTATACATTCTACATAGTTTTCCCTGTGATAGCAAAAATAACACACTTGACAACCTCTACGCTCATATCACAAAGCCTGATCCACTGCGCTACTGAAGCAAATTAGTAATTCTTCTGCTATAACGACATTAACAGAGAAGACTAAACTTCAAACTGCATTTCTCAAAAACGTTTAAGATTTGCACCGTTTTTGGATAGCATTTGTTACTATTACATCAATATTATACTTTTCTAAAAGCAAAATCGCGCGGTGATTTCAAGGATGAAGATTCCTCTTGATTGAATTTGATTTTTCAGAGTACGCTTTAAAATTGACTCTTCGGAATACGCTATTAAATTGACTTTTCGGAGTACACTTTTAAATTGACTCTTCTGACTACACATTTTTTAATTGACTCTGTGGAGTACATATTTTTTAATTAACTCTTCGGAGAGAAGAGAAGAGAAACATTTTATATTTTATTTAAAAAATCGTAATTTTTGCAGAAAACTGATTGATGAAGAAAAAATTTAATTCACGACCTCAACGAAGATTTTAAAAAAATTACTGCAAGAAATGAAGTTATTATTATATACCATATTGTACAATATTAAAACATACACGCAATAATTATCTATAATTTGCACATATGGGCGTTTATGTAATTATAAGTAATATAAAAGTCATGATAAATTAATGTGGCCGAGCGTTATCTCTGTCGCGTTATTGCTAGAAATCATCCGAACTCTCGAAATTATTTTCTTTCCGAATTATGAATATAAAACAAGGGGATGAAAGGGGGACGGCGACGTCTGCCTTACGATAACATCGCTGCTGGCTCGCTTCGTCGCGATTGTCTATTCGCTGGTGGTGAGACAAAGACCGATTCTTCGTTTTTATCTAACTAATCTAGCTCGCTCGTGAACATAGCACAGAACAGAACCAAATAATTATGGACATAGCACAGAATAGTACCAACAAATCGTGGACATTGGCTTAGTAGTTCATATCCATGAAAAATGGACCCAGTTGGCGCTTCGAATCAACCAACTTTTCCATAACGCTGTAAATGTAGCCATGCCCGCTCTCAGGCTTCTCTCTGCCTGAGAGCGGCCAACACGACATTTTCTGCGACACCGACTTTCCGCACTGGAAAAGGACGCCATCTGCATCCATTTTGAGAGGGAAACTACGATGCTACATCCACTTTTAGGTCTCGATGGTAAAATTTGCATGTGGTGGAAGTCCGTGCTACATCCATTTTCGCGGCTTATGTCCGTGCTGCAACTACCATCTCTTGCCATCTCTATATCAGACTATGCCCGGAGGTCTTAAAAGAGTGGGGGGGGGGAGGAGGAGCAGAAACAATAAAAGTATGTATTAAATGTTAAATCTTTGAATACATGTTGCCGTATCAAAGTCTATAATAAACGATTTGACATGTCTGGAGACGCATGATGTATTGCATGATGCCCGCGTCCCGTTCCCTTCGTCCTGCCTCTCAATTCAGCATCCCGTCCATTCCGGACATTCGCTCGTGGCCGTCGGTAAGCATTCGATCCGCTCGGAGGAGCACGTGTTAATTAACGCGACAAGATTCCGATTATAAATATCTCGCGAATCGACAAAATATTTGAACTTTTAAAAAAAACATCAAAGAAAATAATGTTGATGTTATCATGGGTGAAATCTCACCCTGGTATATATTTTTTTATTTTCGAAATAAAAAAAGCCAAACGAATGCAATTAAACATTATTTAATTGCATTCGACAGAGTAATTTTCTTTATTTTCAGTAATCAATAAATAGAGTGCATCAATGTCGCATACAGTTGGAAGGCCTCCTAGCATTCCCTTCGTTGTTTCGGAACCTTCGAGAAAAGAAGAGACGCCCAAAGGCAAGTCTCTCTTGCTTCAACCGCCGCCGAGGCCCGCAATATTTACATCGCGCCGATTGTGTTGATCGGCTCGCGAGTGACGACACTTTTTGCCCTTCGTATTATAATACTCGCGCACCTCGTGTATTCGACCTCATTCCATCAACAGCAGCCATGCGCGACGCGCTCGTCACTTCCGTATCGTGTAATTGAAAGAAATGTATCTCGTCGGTTCTGGAGATACTCAATTGGCATCGCGTCGGTATCGCATTGATTAACCACACGGTCGAATCGCGAATACCGACATTAGAAGCGTGAGCGAGTAAAATCCGGAGGATTCCAGCAGCCGGGAAGCAGGACGCCATACGTCACGTTTCCAGGTATGTAGAATCATTTATTATGCGGGAGGTCTCCGATAACGAGAACGGACGTTTGACGAATTTTTCGGGAATAAGAAGTCGGAATTTCGCACTCGGCATTCACAATCCGTCATCATCCGACTAGTAATCATGACTTTATGAATCTGCAATTACTCTCGTCAATCTCTGTCTGTCTAATTATTTATTGTATTGTTGTATACAAGAGATATTGATCCAGACAGAGACGGATAACAGTTCATGAACGCGGATCTCTAATTCATGTTCTCATTCAAACATTCTGAATAATTCTCAACAGTGAGTATACCGGTTTTGTGTAGAATATTCAACGTCATATCGCTTCTTAAATTGCGACCTTTTTTGTTTTCGGTCAGCGCTTCTTTCAAGTCTGTTTACTGTCGTTACGAGATCTAAATTTAAATGTCCATTCGTAAAAGAGTATTTTCGAGAGCACACAACTGTTATCTCCGCTTCTTGTTGTCATTTTTTTTCGTCACCTCTTTCAAGAGCTCCTATATAGACATTCAATGTCAATAAAGAAAAAAAATCGTAGCGAATATTCTCCACTCATCTCGACCAAACATTCTTTCTCTACCGCAGCTTACCAACCAAGAACGCTAAATTTTTATTCCAGACATTGCGGGAAGCAAGTCCGGTGAACGCGGATGCCGCACCGGAGGATCCGGTTCGGGCAGAGCAGGATCGGCCGGAAGGTAAAGTTTACAAGTTTCTTACACATCTGTGTTCAACTCTTTACGATCTTTGCATTTATAACTTGTTCCTCATCAGCTCTCTTGAAAGCTTCAAGTCCCATTTAAATTTTCAATGTTGGAACAAAAATAAAAAGATAAAAATTCCGTATCAAAATATATCCGTATTTTCGATTCGTCCCGATCAAAGATATTCTCTCTCTACCGCAGGTTACCAACCGGGAAAATTATTTTTCTGTTTCAGTTGTTGCGGAAAGCAATAGCAATCCGGTGGACACGGATGCCGTACCGGAGGATCCGGTTCAGACCAAGCAGAGTCGGCTTGAAGGTAAGTTTACAAGTTTACTATAGTCCTCTGTTTGACCCTTGGCGATCTAGAGCTGGGATTTCCGGCTCGACTTGAATTACGATCGCAGAGGGTAAACTACTCTTTTACTCGCCCGCACTCGTTGGTCAAATCTGATGAGCAAATGTGAATTTTTTGTTACAGAGTTGAAGCGGAACGTGGCAGGCTCTGACTGCAAGTCGTTTCGGTGAGTCAAAATGAAAAGAGGAACAAAATTCTGCATGACGGATGTGGGACTAAAAAATATCGTTCGAGTCAATGCGAATTTCAAATAGATTCTTGCATGTGTGTATTTGTAACGTTGAATAAAATACATTGCTCGAAACAATCAGGGGATTATTTGATCGATAGCCTGCATTACACACGAGATTTAAAATACTGAATGATTCTCTTTTGACGTTCAGTCATCTGAATAAGAGATATTCATATGTACAAACGATACCGTCATCACTGCTTTATTTTTATTTTTCAAGCGGGCCGCAGAATTATTTAACGATTTAATTATTTGATAATATTCAATTGTCCGTGTAAAATACATACGCATAAATGCCGATACCGTTGGCTACTCTTCTTTTATTTGCAAAACAGGCTGTAGAATTATTTGGCAATATTGTCCATTCATCACGATCCCTATTGTCTCGAGTAGCGTATAATGCGCGCAGAAATTGCGCCAGCGCACGCCGAGCTTGAGGTATCCTCGCTCGCGTGCCTTTGAAAATCGCGACCGCGGTTATCAATATATGCGTTTTTACCGCGCTAACAAAGAAAGTTTAAATTTTCATTTCGCCAAAGTATCGCGAACGTAAGCTTCATCGTGACGAAGCTATAATGGGTGAAAACTTTGCCCCGCTCCTCTCTCTTTGCGCTCCCTAGGGGCGACCGGTTTCTGATTGTCTAATCTTTCCTGTCATGCATTCGCGAAT